GTTTCTTTCTGGAAAAGCAAGAATAATTTGCAAAGCCAAAATGTATTTGATCAATTGTATTCACATATTTTTTTCAAAGGTGGTCTGAGTTAAGACAACTTGTATCGCAACTAGACAAATGTCTTTATTTTCTATTGTTGTTAACGCTAAGTTTCTCTCCTAAATTATATTAATATTTATATTTCATAAATGAACACGTGGGCTCTGAGATAAAAAAAAAAGCAGCTTTCAAGGGGAATTCATTCAATAAAGATCAATTATATATTAGAACTGTGCAGAGATACGGGGAAAATCTGATTTGGATTATGCATATAACTGCGCCTTTTCTTGAACCTAAAACAGTTGCTTTGGGATCTCAAGAAAATATGCATGTAATATAGGGTGTTCCCAGATACTATGCATATCCACATACATGTTTCCAATCACATTTTACCCTTCAAATTTATATCGATCCACAGCCCTATATATTCATACATATTCCTGTGTAGGGATCATAGAGGACCCAATAGTGCAATGGCAGTTTTAAAAACATGACACATTAAGCCCAAACAAACCTGAATTTAAAATTAATCCAAAGCCAAGCAGACTAGAACTGTGTCATGGCCTTTCTTAGGCTGAATAGATATGGAGCAAACCTGAACTCTTAGTCAAGGAATTCCACAATGAATGTTCAGTTGTTCAGATACATTCATTCCAAATAATTCTGGGATTTATCAATCTGAATTTGCATTTGGCCCAGAAACAAATTGGAAGTTAAATTACAAGATGGGGGTTATTCAGTACAATTTCCCTGTAACATTTTGCATCCATAGCAGTAATCAATGATTTTGAAATATATTATGTTTTTTTTTATTGATCATCTCCACCCTATTAAGTAAAATGGAATGAAAATACAGTTATTTTAGTACAACTGTGTTATGTATGATTTGCAGGTTATTTGAGATAACCACCTAACCACAGTCTAAATCTCTGAAGGGACTAGAATATCCCACATTGCCAGAAATAGGATTTTTTTTCTGAATTTCTTATATCTGAAATTAATATAAACTCAGTGGAGCTTCTGACATTTTAAAGCGTTACAAATCAAAAATCTGGGCCCTTACTCCTGATTATTTTTACGATTATTATAGGCAATATTAGTTTAATTCTGTAGAAAACATTTTCTAAAGCAGAAGTCCCCAAACTCTTCAGCTCATCAACCCCTTCATGAAGTTGCAGATTGTTCATTGAACCCAAACATTTATATGAAAATAATGTAATAAATACTACTTCAACTAATAGTACTATGAATAATAATAATAACAACAACAATAATAATAATAATAATAATAACAATAATTGAGAGTCAATGTTGACCACTTTGGGGGACACTGTTCTAAAGACATGCATGAGGAATTTGTGAATTGTGGTTTAGACTGCTTTGATTTAGACATTAACGGGTGGATTAGAAGAGAAAAAATAATCTAAATGGTATGAAAGGCATCATTATATGGATATCATTATATTATTACTGCTATTTATTTGACTTGCTGCCTGATTCCAATTGACTCTGGGAGGCTCACAGATAAAGATAAACTATATACAATCCAAATAAACCGCAAACAAGCTGGTGAACAGTATCTTACATGTACCCTACAAGGGATTTCAACCACCCTTCCCTAAAGCCTAGGAGAAGAGCCAGATCTTCAAGGTCCTCCATATGGCCCTCAGGCTGTGAGCCACATGGATCTCAAGGTAACCTCATTCCAGAGGGCAGGCACCGCAAAACAGAAGGCATGTATCCTGGTCCTGATTATACTGCTTAGTTGAAGGGACCTGGAATGTGAGAATCTTATATGTGAGAATCTTGGATCAAACTAGCCAGATTAGGCGTCCCCACAAGTAACCAGGCCCTATGACATGTAGGGCTTTATAGGTCATAGCCAGCTTCTGGAATCATATATGGAAACAAACTGGTAACCAATGCAGCTCTCAAAGCAGGGGTGCCACATGGGCATACTCAGGCATGTCTGTCACTTCCTATGCCACTGTATTTTGGATCAGATAAAGTTTCCAGGTGGTCTTCATGTGGAAGGTCTCATTGCAGTAATTGAGCTGTGAACTGATTAGGGTGTAAGTGACTGTCTGAAGGGCCTCCCAATCTAGGAAAGGGTGCAATTAGTGTTTCAAATGAAGCTGTGTAAAGGCCTTCCTGGCCACAGTTGTCTCCTGCTCATTGATCTGGAACTGTGAGTCCAGAAAGATCCCCAGATTGTACTCCATTCTTGCATGTGGAAGTGCTACCCATATAAGGTTAAAGATGGAACATAACCAGATTCAGGTGGTCTTAATATGCACAGCCCCTCAGCTTTGGTAGAATTAAGTCAGAATCAGATCCTCCCTATCCAGGCTTGCGCAACCTCCAAGCACTGGGACAGGACCTTGACAGTCTCACTTGATTGGTCTGGGGTTGACAGATGTAACTGGGTATCATCAACATGGTGATGAATGGCTCACCCTCTATTCCTTCGTTACATCTAGATTGTGTTACTGCAGCGGATGGTACTTGGGATTATCTTTGAATAATCTTTGGAAACTACAGCATATAGAATGATGGTGATTGCTGCTATGGCAGCAGTGATTGCTAGCCTGTTTCTAAACACAATTTAATATTTTAGTGATAATGATAAAGACTAAATAGGTTTAAGTCCAGGATGCCCTAGGACTGCCTCCTTCCATCTTAGCCTGCCCAGTAGCTAAGATCTGAAGGAGAGGCCTCTAAAATTGAAGAGGCAAAGGTACATTTGACTGGGAAAAGAAATAGGGTTTTCCCAGCAGCTGCACCAAAAATTGGGAACTCCCTGGCAATCTTTGTAATTGCAACAGGATAAGAATTTCCTTCTTGGAGAAGCATTCACTGCCCCAGCCATGTAAATTGTGGAAGATGTTTATTTCCTACTCCTGCTAGCTTTATAATTCTTATTAACCATTTCATAGATTTGTGCCTCTTTTTTTCTTTAAACACTTTGAAATCTGTACCAATTATAAACATTGTGATGCATATCCTTTAGAAGGATGCTCTGTTAAATAAATAGAAACTATTATTTGAATGCATATAGGACCTCTTCTATATTACATAAATGGAGGTTGAAATTTTGTTCAGACCCCCTGTGAGAGGCATGGAACTGAATGGGCAGAATAAGCAGCATGAAGAGAAGGCTGAGAGTCAGGGCTAACATTTACAAACTCATGGCACAGTTTTCAGTCCTCACCTGTGCAGGTAAACACCTAAAAACAGTTAATGTGACTCTTTAAATGATAAGCTGCCATCCAATAATCATAGTCTTCCAAATTAATAAATCAAAACTCTTGATTTTTCTATACATATTTTCTTCTTTTAATACTATTTATAATATAAATACAACAGTATATTATATTTCTAAATATATGAAAATAGATAATTATTGATGAATACGTACTAAATTGAAAAAAGTTATCATAGTGCATATCAAGTATCACTCAAAGATATTACTTCCAGTATGAATTCATGCATAAATATTGTGTATAGGGGTTATGATCAAGTCTTAAAAGTTCTCTCTGCTTCATTTGTGCAATTCCATAACATTGAAGATACAGCATGTTGAATATTTAACAAGCATTCAATTCCACTGGTTATTTGTAGAAATAGATTTCCCTCTAAGTCTTATACACTCATTTTAAGGAGACTAAAAACCACTTCTTGTAAATTCTTTTTTGTTTAAAAGATTTTACATCAGTTGTCCCATTTTTAAAAGGAAATAAAAATATTAAATATATGTTCATGCTACTATTTTATATCTGATAGGAAACAATAAAAATCATTTCCACCTTGTAATTTTATTTCACTAGTAAGGCACAAGCTGATGCAAGAGCTGACTGTCGCTTTTCGAATCTCATTATTTTTAAATCTTACGTGATTCTGTATATAACCGATATTTGATATGATCTACTGAATACTACAATCAGAAAGATATTTCCATACTTAATTACATTTTTAAAGTCTAGAAATTAACTTATCAGGATCACTTCTATATTAAAGATTAATTCATAATTCTCTACTGTATTTTCATGACAAATGCATTTCCAAAAACCCATAGTAAGAATGCAAGTATGGAGATCAGCTATTATTTGATTTAAGACTTTACTTAGTTGCTAGTCATGTGCCTTCCAACTACATGATATTGTTGTCAGCCAAAAGTTATGTCATATGTAAGACTCATATTTTGTATAACAAAATGTATGTTCTCTACTGGTTCCACATGATGAAATGAGGCATTATAAACTAGGACCACCGTTTTATAAATAGAAATTATTTTCAATTGATTAATACAAATTATTTGCAATTGCTACTCATATTTAAACATCTTAAGATTTTGGGTGATGTCATCCTGACTCTATACTTCATAGTAGGCACCATGTATTCCCAACTCCACACAGTTTACTGTTTCAAGGAACCAAGTAATGCCAGACAGCCTTGTCCATTATAGTCATTCAAATTTTGACATCAATTAAACTGCATGGAAGTTTCTTCAGTTCATCTAATCCTATTATGCTAATATATCATACCTTTCACACACCCTTCCAGCTTATTTTATCTGTGGTTTTGTTTAGCCAAAAACAAAAAACAAAAAAAACTCAAAAATGAATCTGGAAAAAAATGTGATATTCTTCTTTCTTCTAATCTTAGAAAAATAAATATGCAATTTTTTTCTAAGTGTTACAAGTACTTTTTAAAAAAAAGCAATTTAAAAGAAATATCTCATTTTTCTACTTTTAATATAGAAATAGAATGTATTGCAAGGATGCATACATATCACATGAAACACAGTGTTCTCCAATCTTGATTTTCTAAGCAGTATTGTACCATCTTACTCTGTACAATTACAATTAATGGGAAACTCATAGTTCTCAATATCTTTTTACCATTTCCAAGAATGAAATTTAGATTACCAAAGCCAATAATGTTGATGAATTAACAATACCTTGTGGCGTAATCTCATAAGAGGTTGAAATGATCTGAAGTCATGCCCTTCCTTTGCTGGCCATCCTTCTGCACCCAATAAAATGCATCCAAGAGAAGAAACAATCATCCACCACATCAGCATATTTCCAATGTTTTCTTCCTAAAGGAATAAGTAAATTGTTACTGCCAGAATTGCATATATAAACAAATAATTATTTTAATTTGAATGACATGTCTTCCATCTGATAAAAAATAATAGTCCAATCATGCAGACACTTAGAATAATAGAATTGGGATCTAATATAACAGGTTTACATGATACCACATATCTTCTAATAATATTCAGAATCTGTATCCTAGCAAAACTAGAAAAAGCAAACCAATGCAATCACTAAAAACCAACCAATTAACCAAGAGAGACATGAACTGCAAAGGGAAATGTTCTAGAAAATATGTGAGGGATAGAGAAGATAGATAAGGGGACTTAGCCTCTTTTGTATATAATCATATTCTTTTGTAGTAGTCTTCTCCAATACTACTGATAGAAGACAATGCAAATATTTAGGAAAGAATATAAGAGATTTCCCCTGTCAAACTGTTGCTATGAAGATTTTTAACAGGGGACTCATTTATGGGAGATAGCTGAATTTTCCAAGATAATAAGGAATCAATGGAAGTAGCTACTGTAGATTGAAAGTGCCTGTGTTTCCAGGAAAGAGCATACATTTAAACTTCTACTGTGCAATCCTAGTATAAATAGCTTCCTCAATGGCTTCAGCACCCTAATGAGGTGGTTTACCATGTTGATTAAAATGGTGAGACAGGCCAAAGCAGAGAAGCTGGTGTCAAAAAGGAAGGAGGAAGACAGCAACTGAATTGTAGACCAAGATATATCATCAAGCCAACCCCAACCCACATACTTTTTGGGGGTAGTGTGTTAATAGTGGAGTGTGCAGAGCATTGCATACATTCCCTGAATGGAAGGGCAGTCTTTAGCTAGGTATAAGAGCAGTTGGCTCTGACTGCCCAAGAGTAGCTATTATCTCTGCCAACCAACAACCTAAGTGAAAAGATATTTCAGTGGTAAGTGGCATCTTTATACTTTGCAACAGCTACTTGGATCCTAAATAGTTAGCTAACATAATTAATTTTCATTAAAATAAAAGTTATTGCCTTGGCTTCATCATTCTAAACACTTCTTAGTGAGCATTATATCCCCTCAGTTTCTGCTGATTGCTTCCACTGTGTCTCCCTCTCATATTCTAGTCAATTGTTCAGTTTTATTTTATACAGTATTTAAACTGATGCAGAAACTCAGGTCTGTCAAAGAAAGGGAAAGAAGTTGCTAATTTTCAGTTCAAGAACTGAACTCAGGACATCAAGAGT